TAGATCAAATACTACTGAAAATGTATTCTTACATAGTAGATATATGTATATATATAGAATAAGTAGAAATACAGACACATATACATACATATATCATTTTTAACAAATGACAAAGTAAAGCCATGTTTCCATACTCAATGCACAATGAATAACGACAATACCATAAAATTGGTAAGAAGCTGATGCTAAATTGGCTTGTTCTGGGTGAATGTCCTTTCTCTTTGTGCATTAGACCCACACACCATATGATTGGTGCCTTACCTATTGTTGTAAATTACTTCCTTCTTTGTTAATGTCGATGCTTTAGAGTGGACTATAAATAACTCCTTAAACAGACATAAACTACTCTGTATTATTTTCTTCGCACTATGTTAGTTAAGCATTCTAACTTATCAATAGAAAAGAGCATGATGGGCAATTGAGATAATATCTTAGCCTTGGTGGCCCAGACTGTCCAGATAGACATATTCCCTGAATATTATTAAGATACATTCATGTCTCCAATTTGTCATTTCTGTATTTTAACTTATGCTTATTTAAAATAACAAAGCTATCAAAATGATAATAAAATTACAGTAGTAATAATACGAGAGTATAATAATGATACGAGGCACTTCACTTTTAAAATACACTTTGTTTCACATTGATCCTGTTATTAAGAGAAATTTTATGAAAGAGGAGCTTAATTTAGATTCATATAATACAATGTTCTATATTCGATAACATTTTCACATACAGAGCTTCAAGCATATGTATTTACTAAGAAATCTAATGTGTATCGACTGTTTTTCTGTACTTGTTTTTTGTAACATGATATGGAAAATAATCTAATTTTGGATTTGGCTTCACTGATATATAATTTGGTGGCATTTTTTTATACTGCAACCCTTCAGATTTTAGGGCATTCCAAGGTGTTTTCTTAGAAAATAAACGCATTTGTCTCTCTTTCCCAGCTTTACACATTAACACACATTTTCAAGTCTAAGGCTTTCTGGTGGTTCCTGGTGTTCGCTTGTTAATTTCTTGATGAATGGCTAAAGAGGCCAAGAAGTGCACGCAGTCCAGCATGTCTTTGAAGATAGATGATCTCAAATAAATTCTCTTCCCAATCAGATTTTGATTTGTTGGGTGTTAAACCAATTCTTCCTAAGGACAGTGTTTATAAGCCTTGTAATGAGACAGCCCTTTGAGACCTTACCTCTTTCTGCCTGTAATTTTGATGAATGGAACTCTAATTCATAAAGGATATTGTGATTGAAAAGCACCTTTGGATCCCATACACTTTAATTTTGATAAATGTTTGGTGCAGTACCATAAAATCAGCAAGTTTACTGAGCTTCAAGCTGGTAATACTTCAACAGGAATGATAAGGTCGGTGTGTTGGTATGGATTAGTTTACTATATACCTTTTAACGACATGATTGTTTCACTGCATTAAAATGAAAGCATATAAAATAGAAAGCTTAATGTACATTTCAGAGCTCACATTCTTTTGACTACATTTATTATGCCGGTAGATTTTTATTTTAATAACACAGGAGTAATGTAAACCTTTTCTTTTTAATGACAAAGCGGATTACACATGACTGTGATATAAAACCTTGCTTTGTCGGCCTGTTTCATACTTAAAGACTTTATTGACTATTTCATGTAAAGAACAAAGTTCCCTTTTGTGTAGATTCCCTTTTGTATTAGATTCTCCAAGTTGCCTAAAATCAAGATAAGGTTTTGGAGCATTCCTTTGTCAACCTTCAATATTTTACTCCAAACTGAAGGCAAACCACCAAGAATCTCAGATATCCCGGGACTTTGATGTCTCAGCTTATTCCTTCATGCCATGTTCAGGAGGGCTTGCCCTGTGCCAGGCAGCGTGCTAAGCACTGAGAACACAGAGACAGGAGCATGTTTCCAGTCACCCAGGCACGTCCAGGCTGTGGGGAGATGCGAGGAAACACCTCTAATACCTGTAACTACCACAGCGGCCGGGCTTGGGAGGGGTGCGGAAGCATAAGGGAAAGAGCACACAAACCTACTGAAGAAATCAGAGAAGGGCCCCGGGATGGGTAGACCTGAGCTGCACCTGAGCAAATGTCCGCAGCACACCTATGGGGGGCAGGCACCCGGGCTGCAAAGTGAGGCTACGGCCCCGGGTAACCGAGAGCCCCCGCAGGGTGGGGCTGGGCTCCACGTGAGCTGAGGGTACAGAGGGGTGGGCTGGGACATGAAGGAGGTGAGTTGCGAAGGTCAAGTAGGAATTAGCCAACCACTGGAGGAAGGAAGGAACACAGCACAGGTAAAGAGGTGTGGGGCAGCGTGACGTATCTGGGAAACTCTAAGAGATCCGGTACTGCTGGTAAGGGAGTAAGAGAAGTTAATGCAGAAACTGGTAGCGAGAGGGCAAAAGGCCTCGATCCGCCAGGCTAAGGGGTTTAGATTTTATCCTATAGTGTAGGCCTTGCATTGAGGGTTGTTGATTGGGAGGAGTTAATAGCATTAAGCAGGAAAATATTGTCAACTTATTTGTGTTGTTTGTGCTTTGTTTGTGTCAGCACTCGGACGTTAAGTGTGGAGGCTGCTGGGAATAGGGGAGCCGGGGAAGCCCCCTAGAGGAGAATGCTGCTGGCAGCGGCATCACCTTACAGCATGGGTCCTGGGTTGGGGGCTCACGCAAGTGGCTTGATGAAAAGAGGAGGAGGGTGAAGGAGCAAGGGGTGATTTGTTAAGCTGGGAAAATGTGCAATTAGGAATATCCAGCTGAAGGTGTCTAGGAGACATATGGCCACTAAGACCTCAAGAGAGACTTCTCTAATCACTGCATTTCCTCTTTTGTTCTCAGATGACACAGTCTCTGAGTTTCTCAAATTAAGTGACTGCCCAATAAGCAAACAAATCACAGTAAGATAGCTAACCTTCAAAAGATTCCTTTTGTGCAGGCTTTATATCACCAAAAAGCCAAATAAAACTAACATAAGGTTTTGGAGCATTTAGTAATAAATCTTTGATATTTTACTCCAGAAAAAAGAATGACCTCTGGGCCAGTGAAAGAAGAACACATATAACCATATAATTCTCCTCACCACCCATGTACTGTGGATTTTCAATAGTATTATTTGTCTCTGAAGTATTTCTCAAAATACATATTTAACAGTCTGTTATACTGTTCAGCCGTATTTGAACCATGCTCTCTAAATGCTATTATTCAGGAAGACCTAGGATGACAGACTGCATGCACATCTCAGCCAGTGACACTGTACCGTGCTGTTGTGACATGACTGTGTTCCTCAACACGTGTTTTTTGCACCTCTGTGTCCTCCCTTTGAGTCAGTCTGTTAACGTTTTCACAGAGAATGCACCCTGAGTCACAGACAAAAAAATGTGCAAGCTGTAAAAAAAGGCTAACACTGTTTCATGTTCATGCGAGTCCCACGCAGCCAGATGCGCTCCCAAGAAAGGGGTTGAGCAAATGGCAGCAGGCAGTCATGAGCTATTGGAAGTCCTCTATTGGGCCTAACTGGAGAGAATTTGGGCCAAACATGTGACAGGATTTGGAGAGTAATTGCATGAGTACACAGTACCGTAACATCCCCTAGGACTACAGTCCACCCACACCACATAAGTTTATCAGGCTCCCATGTGCAGGAATCCAGCCGTCACACCAAGTGCGACGTGAAGGTACTTTCCCAGCTAATGCTTCTCCTTGAAACCTGTGTCCTAGTCACACAGCAAATGACAGCGTTTTCTTCCAGGGTGAACTCCAACCTAAGTTATAGGAAGTAGAAGTATTTCCTAGCTATATTTCGTGTATGTAATTTACTTGCAGTTCAAATCATTTTAGATTCATTATCACCTCCCAAAACGGGTGCTGGAAGGTAAATGCTGATGTATCTGTTAAGCAGTCAAATCCATGCGGGATTCAAGTGCTTTGAAATTTCTAACCTTTACATCGATTAACATGGTAATGGTAGGTCAGCTTTTGCTGCGTTTCCGCTTTTCTGCCCTTTTTTGTGTGTTTCACTTTGGCCGTTTGTACCATTTTATAAAAAAAAAAAGGATATCACTTTCAAAAAATATTACTTATTTTTTTCTTTTTTTGAACTTAAGGTATCATTGATATACAGCCTTATGAAGGTTTCACATGAGCAACATTGTGGTTACTACATTCACCCATATTATCCAGTCCCCCCCCACATACCCCATTGCAGTCACTGGCCATCAGCGTAGTAAGATGCTGTAAAGTCACTACTTGTCTTCTCTGTGCTGTACTGCCTTCCCTGTGTCCCACCTACATGATGTGTGTTAATTATAATGCCCCTTAATCCCCTTCTCCCTCCCTCCCCACCCCTCCCCTTTGGTTACCACTAGTCCCTTCTTGGAGTCTGTGAGTCTGCTGCTGTTTTGAAAACCATGACTTATTTTATTACTTGCTTAAGGAAACTGCCGTCGGGAAGTACACTATCTGTCCGCATCATTCCCAGCTCCACCTTTCTGTAGTTTCCTGATAACTACTCTTTGTCCCGTCAGATGTGAATGCTTTCTTGTTTGCTTCATACTTTTACCTCATCTATTTTCAAAAATGACCCGATCAATTATGTAATTCACACAGAAGCATGATTGTGCAAAAATTGTGTAATTTTATGGATCAGGGAACCAAGTTTGTGGCGAGGTACAGATTTTTCATAGAACGTGCAGTTAATTTAGAGTCTCACGACGTGGATTACAGAGAATCCTTTCTCTACCACCAGCCAACGCGTAGGTCCCGCAACAGAGCATGTAGCTTTCTCAGCCTGTTTCCTCATCCGTAAATTAAGGGTAGATGATTATACCTCCCTGCCTTTCTCACAGAGTTATTTAGAAGCCCAAACAAGATAAAGAAGGCTAAAATGTTCTATGATTCTGAATAAGTAAATGCAGTGTATAATTATAAGTAATAAATTCTTTCTAATGCTCACTGAAAACAAAACAACCACAATGACCTAATACTGCATTTCGGTTGTGACTAGGCACCGAGGACGATGTTGTAAAGTCGAAGAAAACATTCAGAAGTCAAGCAATAGTGAATCAGAATGCGGAGACCGAACTGATGCTAGAAGGAGACGATGACGCAGTCAGCCTGCTGCAGGAGAAAGAAATCGACAATCTTGCAGGTAAATTTTCAAATATTTTTTTCTATCTGTTGAAAGTAATAAATAGACACAAAATTAGTGAATTTAAAATCTATCTCCTGGTGAATAATTGTTTGCCAATAGTTCGAACACTGCTCAGTCATGTGAATGTTAATAATGTATCTCATTTCTAATATTGAAGAGAGGACAATGTATAGCAAAGAAATACGTATTTTCATGGCCATAAATGAATAGTATCTACTTTCTGTACGCTGTGAAGAATGGCCATTTCAGCCAAGTAACTGTCGGATTTGCCATTTTTTCCCTGCTGTCACTCTTTGCCCCGCATATCTGGGTTTTCCTCTGTCCCTGCTGCCAGTCCCCACCACTGGTAAACATGCTTTCCCCTGCACACCTCAGTCTTCACCTTGTCTTGGTGATGGTCTAAGGTCAGAGCAGCATCTGCGGGGACCAGATGGCATGTGGGTATCTTAGAATGTCGTCCCATAACCTTTCTGGGGTTTTAACCCGTTTTTGAGAATCTGGTAAAAGCAGAATGCTTCATGAAAGTGCACCTACAATTTCGTGCACTGTTTCAAAGGATTCACTGACGCCTGGAAGCCAGTCCCTGGCATTATATCCTAGATCTCAGGTTAAAACCTCCTGCTTTAGAGTCCCAAAAAGTGGCTAAGTCTTATCTCAGTTCTGTACTTTCAGCCCCTACAACATTGAGGTCGCAGACGGTGATAGAGAAGTGGGCGTATATTCATCATTCTGTTCACAAAATAGCTCCCTTGTTTCGGAAGTGTGGTGAGTGTGGTGGAAATTACATAACATGCCTTATGAAAGCCTTTGATGATATTTCCACCATTTAGAGATGAGCTCTTTCTATCAAAGAGAAGATGTTACTGCTAAATGTAAACAAGATGGTGTATTATTCCCCCTCTTCTAGAAAATATTTCTTAAGGTTATTCTGACACCAGTTCCCAGATATACCTATTATTAACATTTCTGTGCCATGAAAACTATATTTCCTAGTTAAAACTAATCTTAAGTCTATGAACTTACATTTGCCTTGAATTCCTAAAAAAATGTCCAAGTTGTGATTTTTGTTGTTTTTGTGGTTTGGTTAGAGATTTATCTGAGGCCATTTAGAAATTTAAACAAATGAAGTCCATTCTTTCTTTTTGTCCACAGATTTCTTTTCTCTTTTCCTTGTCTTATTCTTGATCATAAAGAATTAGAGAAAATTCACAACCATGCTTCCTGACCTTTTTAGATAGTGTGTTGTTTTTCCTCATTCACAATATGCTAACAGATATGTTCAGTAATGTTATAATTTAGTTTAGACTCTCTGGTCCTTAGTTCCCATTAAAGATAATTAATTAGTTGATGCAAATACAGCCAGTTACTTGAAGGTTATTATAATAAGAGCTGCCCAGTAATACCAGAAGCAAAATCCAATAAAGACTAACAACCCCTTTATATGTCTCTCCTTTAATGGTAGCTAGAGTCATTATCAATAATAATTTGTGCTTATAAACAAAATTCCCAAAGTAACATTATGTTAAAAAACAACCTAAAGAACAATGAAAGTATGCCTGAAATAAATCATTTAAAAATCAAGTTGTGTGGATCCTGACCCTTGACTCTATCAAGAGTCTTTATTGTCTTTTTTACTTCTATATTGTAAACAGATTTTTCTTTGATCACTTCTGCTTTCTCCATATCCACCTGGTCCCAGTTCAGGCTCTTCCTGTGGAGTCTTTAGTATGAAAAAATCTTACAAAATGTCCTAAAATATTGATCCTTTACCCAGTCTTTACTGTTCATTTTTAAAACAGTGGTCCGCAGTGTGACCGTGCAGTTGGAATGCATAGAAAAGTAGGAGACGGATGTTTCACGAAGAAGGAAGGGTCGCAGAGGCAGGCTGCATAATATATAAGGACATACATAGATTCTTTGCATAACTGCTGGGGCCTGTTTATCAATCTAGATTGGCATGAGAGTGACAGGCCACATAAAAATCATTTTTAGAAGGTAATTACAAACCAGTAGTAATCAGTTGTTAATAAAGTTTCAGACCACTTAAATATGCCTTTTTTTTGTCATCTGTCTCAGAAATTAAATTATGTTAAATAATGTCTCTCATTTATAACATGTAACTAACTCCAAATTGCCTTATTGTGCTAAACTGTCCAAAGAAAACTTCAAACTCTAAGTCAAGATTAAAAGCCAGGAGATCCTAAGTTCTGTGTACAAAATTAATGTAATCTGAGATTTGGTGTCTGGAAATGTGTAAAATGACAAATGCCTATTTTCCTTCTATGAGATGAGAATTACAGGTTTATCTTTTCATGAGTTAACTTAGTGATATGGTTTACATATTATTAATACAAGAAATATATCTTAAATATATAAAAGTAATTCAAGTTCTTAGGTTTTAGATTTTAGAAGAATGAATACACAACTTTTATAGTAATAATGGTAAATGTACACTTGCTGATTAACATAACTCATTTTCCTGTTCCTAAAAAACCCTGTTTTGCTGACAGGAACACAGGTGAGGAGATCACACATTATAATTTGTCACTATGCAATATTACTTAACAGTCAAGTTAAATTCAAAAGAAAAAATTATATGCTGATTAGGATGGAAAACTAAGGGAAAGTACTAATTTAGTTAAGATTAATTCTGTTTTTTGGGTTAAAAGATTGAGTTAGTTTCTGTTTATAAAAAGAAAAAAATAGGAAGTATAGCTAACATGTCTTAGGAATCAGGTAGTGTTCAAAAGGCTTTATGTAGAGTATCCCATTTAGTGTTCACAACGACCTTATAAAAGGGGACACTATTATTACCCCAATTTTACAAATGAAGATATAGAGGCCAAGAAAGATTAAGTAGCTTACATATGGTTAAGAAGTATATGAAAAAATAAATTTCCTTATAAATACATACTGTATGGTTTAAATTAAATACACCAAATAGTGTATTTAAATATATGTTTGTATACTTAAAGACTCTTCAAAAATGATGTTAAAACAGAGCCTCAGTTTATAATTCAATTTTTACATTGGCTTTATTATACTATACTTAGAAGTCTATGACTATGCATAAGTAGTTAATTTCAGTTTTATATATGTGTTCCCCAAAATCATTTTGGTAAGTTAAAAAAAATATCTGATAATCTTTAGCACAATTTTGTATTAATATTGACCCTTTCTCATGTTTTCTCCACTTTCTTTGGAGTTTTCTAGTTCTAATAAGGATTATATGTTCCACAGAGTGCTACAGCTTTAAGTGTCATATAATTTTCTGTTCACTTTTAGTTCCCTTTCTCCCCAAGCTGTTCATCTCAAGAGGCAAGTTAAATGTGTGTGATTATTAATTACTCAATTTATTATCTATTCTACCAAATGGCTAATATCATAATATAGAGGTATGCCAATCAATTAAGTAATGATATTAATAACCTCTAACTTACTTTAATTGATTTTTAGCTTGTAGTGATTCACTAAAGTGAATTAGCACCTAATATTCCTTATGTAACTAAAAATTTCAACTTACTAATTATATTGTTATTTAAAATACTGTAATTGATTAGTATAATGCAACTGTTTTTAATCTAAAATCTCGATTTTAATTCAAAACTTAGCTTGGCAAGTTTAAGATTAAACTCAAATTTATGTAAATTGACAAATGAATGATTTAATTCAACCAATAGCATTGTGTACCCCTAATGAAATGTAAGTCCTTTCTTTTCAAGTGATGGTTCTGTCACATATGCTGAGTGACAATAGAAATGTTCTATATAGTAGAGTTGTAACTCATCTAGATTCCTTTATTATTATTTCCAAATGTTATCTAATCTTCCTAATTTAAGGAATTCTGAGTTAATGATGATGATGGTGATCCTTTTTTGCTTTATAATTTCCAGAAATTGTAAATATAAAGATTTATATGTACGTAAGCTGTTATTACCAACGATTCACCCACCTATTTAATGTCTAATGACTTTCAGGATTTTCCACTGGCCTACACCAGTGTCCAGACTTCATTCTTTACCTGAAATACGCTTCACACATCTCTGTTCTACAGCCTCCCTTATTTCCTCCTATCACAATCTACCATTTTTTAGACCTATTTAAAACACAAATCAAATATTCACAATCCAGTTTTGTCATACCCATAACATTCTTTTGGTAACAACTTTATTGAGATATAATTCACATGCCATACAACTAAGCCATTCTAAGTACACATGTCAATGACTTTTAGTATATTCACAGAGTTAGAGAATTGTTGCCACAGTTCTGGAACATTTCATAGCTTAACACTGTTTGGTTATTCCCCCACAATTTTCCCATCCTCCCTCAACTGCCCTAGAGGACCACTGATAGACTCTCTGTCCCCATAGACTTGTCTGTTCTGGACATTTCACATAAATGGAATCTTATCTTTTGTGACTGGCTTCATTTACTTAATGTTTTCAAGGTGCATCCCTGTTGTAGCATGCATATCTTTTTCATGGCAAATAATATTCCATTGTATGGATGTACCACCGTTTATCCATCCGTTCATTGGCTGATGGACATTGGATTTGTTCCCACCTTTGGGCTCTGATGATTAATGCTGCTATGAACATTCATGAACAACATTCCATGTGAACCTATGTTTTCATTTCTCTTAAGTATATACCTAGACCTGGAGTAAATGGGCCAAATAATATCTCTATATTTAACTTTTTGAGGAACTGCTACACTGTTTTGCAAAGTGGCTACATCATTTTACATTGTCATCAGTAGTGTGGGGGCATCTGATTTCTCCACATCCTTCCCGACACTGGTTATTATCTGTCTTTTTTATTATAGCACCCCATAAAAAGTTTGGTTATATCATCCTTAAGACCTTATCACATAAAGCCTTGTAGTTGCTTTTCTGTATGTTTTCTCTTTCCTTTTAGAGTATAAATTCCTTGAGGGTAGTGACCATATCTCATGTACCTTTAAATCATGAAGAAATCTTCTAACATAATTACTTG